ACTGAAATTGGAATCTCGCGCGTGTTGGTAAGTCGAAGGTACTGAAGCAAGCGTACGCACGTACGTAAGTGAGGGTTACCGAGCGCCAAGTAGGAGAAAAACTAAAGAGGGGCGCGACTGGTTAACTGCTCGATGAGGACTCGTGCTCCGAGAGAGAGAGAGAGAGAGAGAGAGAGAGAGAGAGAGAGTGAGTGAGTGAGAGCGAGATAGCGGGTGGAGTGGTGAGGGACGAGGGGGAGGTGGAGAGATAATTGCCGGCGCTTGTTTGCCTCGGCCCTTGCGAGGCGAACCCTCGCACGAATACCTACCTGGTGGCCGGCTTTGCGGAAACTGGTAAGCTTTGGATGGTCCTTTTAGGGCGGCTCGAGCGAGCGATGATTCCCTCGTTAGAGGGAGCTCTGATAAGAAGAAGTTATGCGCACATCGGATGGTAGGAGGTAAATTCTCAGGGCAGTGGACTTTCGTGCTAAGCAATGCGTATCAACATAAAGATAATGATGGATTCTCACTTTTAAGAGATATAGAGATAGCGCGCACGTGTGCACACGTATACATTACGTACACCGGTATTATTACCACGATTCCTTATTAAATTCGGTAAATATGCAAATAAACCCTGTAAGATGTAAAATTTATGACCAGTTGCACATATATTCCAGGGCGTATAAATTTATTTTATAGATGAAAAGTAGACTCTCATACGAAGGTCAAATAGCATATGAAACTAACAGTACTTAACACATGAAATGGAGAAAATAAATTTTTTTCAGGCAATTAATATTTCTCTTCCAATTAAATGGATTATTATTCATTGATATAAATTCGACTTTATACGTAAAAGGACTAATTGGAAATATCACATATTTTACATATAAATATTTAATAAATGAGCATCCTGATGAGATATTATTGTTAAATTTTTAATGAGATGTAAGTGAAAATTTTGTAGCAGCTTAATACGATTAAGTCTCGTTCGTTCAATTATATTATATCAATTATATCCCACATAATAAATTCAGCTTTTAAATCAATATAACTTAAATTAATATAAATTACAATGTATATGCCTATTGATTATTTTTTACGAATTAATAGTCTTTAAGTCATAAACAATTATAGATATATTTATAAAATTCTATTCAAAATCAATTAATATAATAATATAATATAATAATGATAAAAAATTTATATAATTCTATAGTGATTTGTGTTAGACTTACAAAACATTGAATACATTGAAATAATATAATATAAGATTGGATGATACTAAGTGAAAATTTAAAGAAAAATACTTTTTTAACTCTATACATCTTATATCTTTTATATAAATTCTTTTTAATTAATTGCATTGAAAAAAATAATTATCACCCATTTAGATATTTAACATTTATATCATTTTCTCCGTATGAGAATATCAGATTAAATAAGCAATTCTTACAATTTTCAATACGTAAGTAAATTTTCTGATTAATTTCAATACAATGCATTTATGTATATAAGATATCGTCTATGTATATACTTGTTTAGAATGATGGTGTGTATACCCAAGTACGTACAATCATTTACAAATACAGATATAAATCATTATAAATAATTAACTATATTGTTTCCGACTTTTATGAAAACATTGAATTTTAACGAATTATTGCATACCAAAAAAAAAAAAAAAAAAAAAAATAAAAAAAAAATATATATATATATATGAACAAAATTTACATAAACATATTTGCATAAAGTACATTCCCGTTACTTTTCAACCAATGAAAATTCATTTACGTGAAGTGATAGTCTATCAATTTTAAGTACAGCTATCGCTATTTCGCTTTTATCAAATTATAGATTAAATTTAATTCAAAAAGTTAATTGTAAATCAAATGTATAATTGATGTAGGAAATAACTGGAAATTTATTTAATCATGTGTCGGAAATACTATAGTATTGTAAAGTGTACAGTATTCGCACAGTTTCAAACATTTTATGATATCATTTCGTGGTAGCTTTTTCTTTGATGAAGTAGTAATCGAATAACGTTACAAAGGAATTTTAGCACGTTTTAACTTTATAAAGAAAGATATCTATTCAGTGAGAAATTTTCTCATGAAAGATGAAACTTTGAAACTTGCATTATGGTACATAAGGGAAAATTTAATAAATTCTAAGAAAAAAAAAACACTTTTTAAAATAAATACGACCTTGAAAAAGGAATATGTTGCTTCTTGATGTTTACAATTGACTTTAAAGATATGTAGTGAATTTTAATGCTCGATATAATAATCGTTGAATAAATAAAAGTATTTATACAGGTTTACATATAGTTAAAACAATGGACTAAAATGTCAAATGGACTAAAATCATCTTTAGAAAACTATACAATAAAATAGATAAGTGTTAACTCGTTATGCAGAAATTATATTATAAACATACAAGGACACATCCGCGCGCGCGCGCGCGCACACACACACACACACACACACACACACACACACACACACGAAAGCCGAATAGATGTGTATATATATATATATATATAATGTGTATGTATATTATTTTTATATAACTAATACGATAACATAAAGCTATTGTTTAACAATTTAGGTTTTAAATATATGTATGTTATTAAATATGTATATATATATATTTTTTGTTTTGTTTTTAATAATACAATTTTTTTATTAGTTAAGAAAACTTTACCGTGGATGAGAAAATTAGAGTTATAGAATACTATATATTTTAAGATTTCGGTGATAACTTTTCATATTTATAACTTTACAAACTTTTTTCAAATTATCTGTCTATCATTACGCAAGTTTCTTGTCAAGAACAAGAATAAACTTCAAAATAAAGAACATTTTATTTTAAGCATATTTAAATCGAACTTTAGATTGTTTTCGTACACTCAAAAAAAGTTTCTCAACTTTGGAATTTTCATGATTTATAAGAACTACACTTGGCTTCATTTATATGTCTTTCCATATTTGGAAGATTATATGGATTTTCAAGAATTGAAATTGATTGCAATATAATCGAATAACAAGAAATTTATCCACGATATTATAATTTACTTTTTTAAATATTAATTGCGCATAAATAAAATATCGATGCATTATATAAAGTATATTATAATTCGATTTTATAATCTAAGGTCATTAAACTATCAAAGTAAAAAGTTCGTTCATTGAAAAATTAAGTATACGAACTAAATTGTCGAAAGCGTGTTGTTTATCATTCGATACAATTGAAAATTTTATTATGAGAATGCTTGTTTGTGGTTTTCAATGCGATCGACGAGTATCCATAAAGTCAGGATCTACCGAATTTCAGTGACCGAGTCGCCCCGGAGCCCCTGTTAATCCTTGGGAAAATGGACAGTTCAAACGGCGAGTTGCCGGCCTGACAAAATATTCGTGAAAATCCAGATCGAGGGGGTTGGGGGGGGGAGCCTCGGGAAGTTTCAGCCCCAGTGCTCGCGGAGACTCAAAGCAACGCCAATTGCATCGGAACTCCAAGCATAGAAGTATCTTCCTGGGTAGCGTCGTCGATGCTGCCCCGAGTATCGACACGACTGGCTCCTGGGCAGTCGGAATGCGCGCGTCCCACCGTCCTCACCCGACGAGGTTACATCGTTCCACGAGTTAATGTGCGCCGCCGTACACGTACTGGCAATTCAGGCCAAAGCTCGATGGATGGAGTGGGGGTGGGGTCGCAGAGAGTAAGAGAGGCTCGTTAATAATGCAGGAGATCCTATTACGATTGGAGAGGCGAATTCCGATTTGACGCACGATGGGCCCTTGGTCGTGTGGATCGGTGAACGGGGCGAATCCTCCTTCTGGCACCTACCGGACCACGAGTACAGGGCTCCTGCGTACAATGGCCCTGCATTAGCGTGGACTGCAGCCAAGCAAAGGCAGAAGGACGAAGGACGGTGCGTGAGGATGTGGGAGGGATTAGATTGGCGAGCGGGAGATGGTTGGACGGGACGGGCGGTTGTGCGGGTGGGCTGGGGGGGGGGGGGGTTGGGGGGGGGCTCGGAGCGGCTCGTCGTGACGCGGCGTGGCATGAGAGGGCCAAAGGGGAGGGCGAGCAGGGATCGAAGCAGGGACCTGGGATCCAGATGCCGCCGACCGATTTGCCGGGTAAATTGGATTATGACCAGGATGTTGTTCGACGCAGGGGAAAAAAGAAAAAGAAGAAAAAATGATGCGCGATGGATCCGGCGATGCCGACCGCGTAAAAATGCAGAACCTGCGAAATATTTTCCGACCACTTTATCGATACGCTTTAAGCGATGGCATTTTAAAAATTAAGATAACGCCGCGGTTTACAGGTTTTTAATTCAACGCTTCTTTGTCCTCGTTGCGATGTTGCAATGATGAAAAGTTGCGATGAGCGATGAAAGTACTTCGACAATACCTTCCGATCAATTGAAAAAATCGCATCTTTTAAATCCCATCATCGGACTATCGTCTATTGCTCGAAGTATTAAACTCTCCTCGTCTACATATAGTTCCTGTAATCATAAAATATTTCTGTAAAATAAATTTCATTATTGCGTAAAATCTCATAAGAACGGTTGTTTTACAATATAATCCGTTAGAAAAGCGTCTGAAAACGTGTTAGGTGTCTCACACGTACTTACACGCGATCCATGCAATTACACATCAAAGAATCATTTTCAACTTATCATATTAAAAATTAGCCATTTTGAAATTGAACTCTCGTCTCTGAGAAATATGTTGTTTTTTGCTTATTTTTACTTGTTCACTTTATTTGTAAATATTGTTAATCTATCCTCTTTTTTTTCCAAATATACCATTATATCGATGATATAACGTACTGAATAATTTATTAGATAACGATCATTGACAATATAGAAACAAATCGAAGTTAAGTTTATTGTATAAATTGTATAGACTTCGATATAGAGAAATGATTTCTTCAATTTTTTTCATAGACGATCGCAGTGCTCATTTACAAATAGGTGCATTCGGCATGTACTTAATTAATATAATAATTCGACAAAATCGACGGCTCGCTGCGCAAACGTAAGAGTACGTATTTTATAATTTTACAATTCGTCGACACTTATAATTGACGCAAATAACTTGTTAAATAAAATTTGAGTAAGTAAATTCGATTATTCCTACATACGGCTACAAAATTATATATAATTGCTCAAATACATAATTCTGATTGTGTTGATTCCTATACGCGCAATGTAAATATATTGTTTATTCAAGAAATTGTAAGCTGAAAGCCAATACGAATAAACTCGGCGCTCGCTTAAATCGTATGTTTAACCTCCTTCTCCCCCTACCTTCGTCTCCCTTGCAAATAAATATTGATCGTTCTGCGGGCAATTTGAGTAATGACAAAACTGATGCTCACTCGTTTACTTACAATGCATTAATAAATCTGGTAACTCTGCATAAAGCTGCACTTAAAATGTGCCATAACGAAAAAATGTATTGTCAGAGATGGTTGTGCGAATCCAGTCGATGAATAAGGAGACGCGCACGTACACCGATGGTGCTCCCCGTCGTCCACAAGGTAACATTGCCCATGTCGCGACTCCAATCAACACCAACTTGCCCCTACTATCCACCGAAGTCAGAGGACCGCCCGAGTCGCCCTAAAATAAACAAAATTCGCATTATTAATATAATATGCGACGGGGCTTAGTTTTATTAGATCATTCGACCAATAAATCATCAGCGACATTGGAATTCCCGTTTTCGCGCAATCTTGATATATTCACGTACATGTTTGTCAATCAACTAAGAGGAGCTGCGAGATCATTAAAACTCGTCACCCAATTTCGCTCAACCACCATCACCGCCACCAGGTAAGCAACTCGTTGTCGCGTATATGGCGTATAACGTCGTCGTCGCCGTCACCGCCCCCCCCCCCCCCCCCCCCCCCCCCCCCCCCCCCCCCCCCCCCCCCCCCCCCCCCCCCCCCCCCACCCCGCACCCCGCACCACGCACCACGCACCCCGCACCCCGCACCCCGCACCCCACCCCTCGTACGAAGGAAATTTCACGCGCACTGAGGCTCCGGCAATTTCCTACACAAAGCCTCCCCTAAGGCATTACCAGGCCTGCAAAGCCGCCCTTACGTCGCAAAGAGAGAAGCCGCCCGTTAACGGCCCCGTGCAGATATCCGTCTCGAAGACAGTGTCCTTCAGCTCTATCTCATCCTCAAGGGCGACGGCCTCGACCGCGGCATTGCACACGCTGCGCTCGATGATGGGCAAACTTTTAGAGTGCAAGAGCACCGATGTATTATAAGTGTCGTTGATTAATGTAGTGGCGCCCCAGCCGGAAAGGATGCCGCTTCCCGTAGGTTCGCTGCCACTTTGGGGAAGTTCGATCGGCGCGACCCATTCGGTCCATTTCAATGACTTGGACAATTTTATCAGGGCGATATCATTGGTGCCGGTGTTACTGGAACATTGGAAATTTTATGAGTGAAGGAGGGAGGGAGGGAAGGAGAATGAAGAGAGAGAGAGAGAGAGAGAGAGAGAGAGAAACGTTTATATCGGTGCAAAGCTATTTCTTTGCCTAAAGCCTATGTCGTTCTCCCTAAATGCACGCGTAACTACTATTGACGCGCTGCTTTCTACGAATTTGCACATTTCATTTCATTATTGACACTTTCATTATTGTTATCGTTATTATTTTTACAAACTATTACAAATTATGTAAAATAATTATATTAAAGATATTGCATTAAAGATATTGTAAAAAGTAACTTGTCAAATAGTGAGACCTAAACTTTGCTCGTCCGACTTGAAAACAACGGGAACAAATATTTTCCTGCGGCAATAGTAATTCCTGTAAATAGTAATTACAAGAATAATCGAGAGAACGGTTACATAGCCAGAAAAATATTGGTGAATGCAAACGAGATAAAACGTAAAGGCAACTCATAAATTTATCCAATAGTTAAACTATGAGATACCTTTATCGTCCATTGTCTAAGGAAAAGAAATGTTAAGTGTCGTTATATAACATAGTTAAACACAATAATTGCACGTAAAATATAAATTAATTATTATTTATTTAGGCTTTGTTTGATATCACGATTGATCAATATCTACGTATATGGAATTTTAGTATAAGTATCCAATTTTACACGATGGTGTGAAACGATTCGGCGGTGATTCGATAAGTTATGCGGATATTTCGACTGCAACTCATTTCGGAAGATAACATCCGCCGGGATAACGGATAGTTCCAAGTTTCATTCAAGGCCAAGTGAATGCTCCCATGACTTTTATCGAATATTTTTCCGTAAAAGCCGTTATTATCCGCAAATTAGCCGCTACATTTTTATTTCAAATCAAAATGTAAGATAGAAATATTATAAAATAAATTATTTCACAATGTACCCTTTTCTTACCTACGAGCGTGTGTATATTCAATAATTATAGTCAACAATACAAGCCCATGTATTATCAACACAGAAAAATTGTGCTTTTTATATAGAACAACGAAAAAAAGAAAAAAGAAAAAAGAAAAAAGAAAAAAGAAAAAAGAAAAAAGAAAAATGGAAAGGAAAAAAAAAGAAAGAAAGAAAAGAAGAAAAAAAAACAAAGACGATGAATCTCATGGCAGAATTACTCACACATTTTCTTCGTAACCATAGTGTTTGAATGTTGATTGAGCAAAGATTCGCTGCTCAGAGTGCTCGTGTTCTTCAAGATTTATCTTCCCTGCTATAATCGTCAATATAGCGATTTGATTGATGTTCGATGGAAGTTCTAAGCAATGTCCCGCCGTCAAAATCCAGTATTTGCTGATAATGCTGCCGCCGCAAACGTGTATACTTTGGACATTCAAAGAATTCGAAGGAAGATGCCATTGCAAGGACACTATATAGGGTATATCACCGTGAACAGCGACTTCACCTCCGATTATTCGATGTCTCACTGCGTGTTGAATAACGCATAACTAAAGCGATATTTACTTATGTAACATTAAGTACTTATGCTATTTTTAGAGGTATTCTAGAATACAATTAGATAGCCGGAATATTTGACGATTCGCTTAGACTCATCCGATCATTTAAGCGCGTGTCACAATAATCACGCGAGATACAATCACAATCACGCCTACACACGTACATAATAATCTACTTACGATCAAGAGTATTTAAAAAATATTTTTTCATACAACTTCTCAGAAATACCTTTTTTTTTATTTATTATTGTTATTATTATTATTTTTATTATTATTATTAGTCTTTTATTCGAACGAAATAAATAAATCTGAATCTATGAAAAAGGGAGAGAGAGAGAGAGAGAGAGAGAGAGAGAGAGAGAAACCAACAACTTCTACTAAAAATACTAAATTTATATAAAATTTTATGAATTCTATCACAGCTTTTATTTCATACAAAGTATTATCAATTTTTTCTTTTACTTAAGCATCATACAATTTACGAAAATTTTCAACACAGTATATAATAATAATATATAATATAATATATATAAATCTTATAGCGATCATTCATAAACTTATATCAACTCCGAAAACCGTAAGAGCAATTTCAATTATAATCTAACAAAAGTTTCATTAATTAACTGTTCATTTCTTGAAAAAATGACATTAGCAAACTGCCACAATATACGTATATTATATTCACAAATATTACATTGTAATCTGACATGTTTAAAATGTATGTGAATAAAATTGATAAAATTCTTATAGTCATTGTTGATCCATTACTTATTCAAAATCATAAAAGTAATGAACTTGAAAATATTAGTTAATTTAAATATTTAACTGTTACGATAATGCTAAACAAGACAATTTGATGCGAATGGTTAAATTATTTCATCAATATTAATTCTTTTTCATCAAATATAGAATATAGTTTATCCTCTAAAAATTCAGCAATGATTCGCAATTTAATTTGAGCGATACGTCATCGTGTTTTAATTCCTTATATATTTATTTAAAATATTGATATATTACATGTCCTTTCAATTCTTTCTATTATTAAAATAAATTTTGCTTAAATGGACAATCGTCCCTGTTACTCAAAACTATTTTTATCATTCCTTTAATAAAGCACATAATTATTGTTTTTAAAATAAAAAAAATTCTAAAATATGCATCTAAACAATATTAAATTTAATATATTTTATGTTTATTCATTGACCACGAAAGTTTATCCATTATCACAAAATGGTTTCTTCACATACAATGAAAACAATAATGTTTTTACGTATAGTTTATTTAATTAATTATTATTTTTTTCATGATTATTTTATACTCGATAAGTTAATTTTAATATATCTCAATTTTGTAAAATAAATATTTAAATGAAATTTTTCATCAATTTTACATTTTCTAAGATTATATATATTTCTTACATTTAGGTTTATTACAGCTTACGAGTTTTTCAATATTAAATTGTCAAAAAATTTGATCACTCTTTTATTTTATTTAATTTTCAATAATAAATCTTTCACTTTTAAATTTAATGTCACAATGTTAATTAAATTATACCAGCACTTCAATTTGGATATTCATATTGTTTGTTATGTATTTTAAAATTGTCAAAAATTTTGAAAAATAATCTATCATAAAGTATATAAAATTTAGATAAAATTTTGATAAATTTTGATAATACATATTTAAATAATAATTTTAATTCTTATTTTGCTTATCTTAATAGGGAAAATTAATTGGATAATGAACATAAACTGTAAAATAACGTCAGTTACTAATTTATAAAATATATAAACATCTTCGTGGCTTATTAGTAACTATGTTTCAACAAATTAATGAATAAGTTTACATTTACATAATATAATTGAAATAATGAAAAAATTCAATATAATAAATATTTAATCGACAAACATTCACAATTGGCATATCATTGAGATATTATTAAAAAAATTAAACCGTATTATCTATAATCTATTAAGAAGTAATTCTCCATTGTCATAATGTATGTTAATGATTCACAGTGTAAGAAAAAGTTATTATATAACCATTAAATATTAATTTTATCTTCTATTTTATAATTGCTACTACAAATAACACTTTCAAATAATCCATTTGAAAAAAGTATTTAAACTAATAAACTTATCTAGTATAAGATAATTGTAGGTAAATTGAAAATCTGAAAATTTTCTACAATTTTTGTTTATATTTTCAGAATTTTTCATTAGATTTGCGAGCTTCAGTCTCAGAATCTTTATTGATAAATTTTTTAATATTCATCCCAATGTACAATAGACATACAATATTTATAAATTAAATATAACATTTTTATACTAAAACTTAAAAATTTTCCTTATTCTATTAACATTACAGAGCTTATCACAAGATTTGTAATAGACAATCAATCGATCAAATTATTTATTGATAAGATCTAATGAAATAATTAACGTGGAAAACTTTAAATTTTGTGATAAAGCAAAACCTTCAATGCAAAGACATGCAAATTTTATAAAGATTAAAATCCTAAAATTTATATAGAAAATTCTAGTTAAATATCTTATATATTTCCTTATACTGTAGAAAGATATGTGAAAACCATAGCCTATACGTCTAATATATTTTAATGTCTAATATATTTAATGTATAACATACATACAATACTACATAAAATTCACTGTAAATTATCGTTTAATGTTAATATAATAACAAAGATTAGATTAACTAAATATTGTTTTTGCCAAGGCGAAATTTCAATTTGCAAATATTATGGAAATATTGATTACAATTAAGAATTATCATTATAAATATAAATTCAAATCATTTACATAAATGTCTTTTATAAATTTAAAAAACTTTCCCATAATTAAATAATTTGATTTAACGTCTAATATTAGTTGGAATCATTATTCTTATAATATATATATATATATATATATATATATATATATAAGCCAATAATCGAATAATATAATAAAAAAATAATAAAAATGTACGATAATAAAAGAAATTATCTTTTTTTTGACATGAGAATAAAAATACTTTATGCATTATATATTGTAAATATGATAAATTATTAATTATAAAGAAATTTAGTGGTACATTTCAAAGTTCTAGGGCATGCACTATGCATTTTGCATATACTGGTAATATATATTTATACTTTATAGACGTTTAGTATATTTTAATGATATACTTATAAATATAAAATAAAACTATTAGCTTTTAAAATAATATAAAGGTATTGCTTATACCATTCATTTCTTGTTTTACATATTAGAGAATTTTATAAATTAGAGAATTTTTGTATTTGAATTTTGCCACTTTTGTCTTTATAATCTGATTTATCCTATACAATCACAGACTATATGGATACTGTGCAAAATAATATTTTATAAAATTAATAAAAAAAAACGCCCTTTAATAGGACGTTGTAACACTTACATGAATTTGAAAAAGCCATGGAGAAGACGAAGACAATAAGTTTACAGAAATACATTTTACTCACTTACGTAATAAATACTTTATGAAAAATAATGTTTTTATTTAACTTCTATGAGTTAGATCTCGCTTAAACACTTGGCAACTTCGTATGAGATTTTTGTGTAAAATGTGTGGTTAATAACGTATAAGAGCTTTTAAACTCAAGAGTGCTAAAATTATATCAATAAATTGAATTTTACATTTGATATTTATATTATAGAAAATATCATATGTGGATATTAGATAATCTTATAAAATATCTTTTTGAAAAATGTTAACAAATAAAGTATTTAATTCTGTATCTGAGACGTTCTTATTTTTGTCGTTGTCTTATCAGATATCTAATGTAAAGAAAATGTAATTTAACATAGTAGAATAATTATTTATTTTAATGTACAAAACAGAATATGATATAATAATTTAAGTAATAAGAATAAATGATGCAGAAAAATAAATTTAATAGAAATAAAAATAAAAATAATGCTCAATCAAAGAGTGAAAGTGGTTTAAAAAAAAAAACAAAAAAAACAAAAATGTTACTATGAAAAGTAATACTGAAGTCTTTGAATATAATATTTAAAATAGTATGCTAATGTGATTTAATGTATGTATATATAATACTTAGCGTGTACACATACACACACATATATATATATATATATATATATATATATATATATATATATATATTTATGTACGTTTGTATGCACATAGTAAAATTTAATAAGAATATTTAATATAACACAGCTTGAATAATTATTTGATAAAATTTGTATAATTCTATTTACATAATAATTAATTTTTAAACAAATATAAAAGCGAAACTAATAAAAAGGTTCTATTAAAATTGAATAAAAATTTAGTTAAATATTTTTAAGTTAATAGATTTATATAAATAATTAAGTATTGTAACTAAAATAAATTTTTTATATCAATATGCTTTTTCGAGAAAATAATTAGTAAGCTGATTAAATATAATTATCTTCGTTAGAAAGATCAATAAATATTAAATCTATTGTATAAGAAACCAATGTTGTATTAATAATATATGATATTTTATTAGAGAAATACTTTGAATATTCTAAATGGTAAATCTATGTTAATATAATAAGTCGATACATATAACCAATTTTTTTCCATAAAATATTTTCATTATATAATTTGTAATAATAATAGACTATGTCTTCGCTATCTAATATATAAGAGTTAAAAATAAGAATAAAAAATATAAACAAGCTATTTTTTTCATGGTGTGTAAAAAAAATAGTTCACATATTTTGAAATTATTTAAAATATTTTTAAAAAATTCTATTATATTATTAAGAACTTGATTGTAAAATTATTTATCATAGTAATTTTTATTCAATACTTTGTTTTAAAATAATATCTCTTAATAGTTTGATATTTATTACCATATGATTACCATATCTATATAATTAATTAATTAAATAAAAATATAAAAATAATTAAAAAAAACTATTATATAAAATTGTGTAAACGTATGAGCGAAATATATTATGTCTAAATAGAAAATTAAAATACTACATATTCCATTAAATATTTTAAATATTAGAAATTTCATATATATATATATATATATATATATATATATATATATATATATATATATATATACTTAATACGCTAAAATTAGTGTCAATTTATTCGTCTGATTATTAATTATTACAAACTATAGACTCTCTAATCGACTCTCTTTTCCTAATTCATCACATTTCAATGTGTAATGCATACGATATTTAGTTATACATATATTTTATTGAACAGAAAACAATTTTAATGAAAAATAAGAGAAACAGAAAAGAAATGTTATTTAAAAAAAAAAAGGCTATAATTCTAATAATTATGAGTCTGTTCGAATGTGATTGTTTAATACATATTATCGTTTACTTTTGTTTACCACAGTTTTAAGAATTATTTATAATTTTTCAATAAATTTAATATATTTTCATCTTTTGAAATATCGCGATAAATATTACATGTATTAAAAAGATCTTGAATTTATAATTGTACGAGAAAAATTCATTTTTATTTATTAATCTAATCAGATTCTCTTATTTACTTATTTTCACTGTTTTATGCATATATACATAAAATTCACGTGTGTGCGTGAGTGCGCGTATACGTATATTTGAATTTAAAATATCTGCAAGTATTGAATCAACGTTCGCGAAATCTTTGAAACAAAATAATCTCATTGTTTTTTATGTCGCTTCTCTTATAATCATTGAATATCTACATTACAAGATGTCCATTTTAAAATAAATTATCTCTAAATTTTCGCATAATAATGGAATACACAAATGTCAGAAATACTTAATCGTCCATTCTTCAAAACCTAAACGGTCACTTAGCCCGAGGCCTGTAATTTCCTAAAGTTTATTTTCTTACTCTCAACCTGGCAGCGAACACCTACTGAACGTGGGAGGTGGGGAGAAAGGATGTATTCTTAGTTGCCATAGATAAGGCCAATTTTAATGCGTAGGAGAGACTCACTGCGTGAATATTTCCTAAACATGGGTTTCCACCACAAAGCTACTTTACCAAGGCTTGGCTGCAGATAATTGCATAATTCCGTCAATTGGACGCTTTGCCTTGTATGCGTGTGTGGTGTGCCTCTTTTTCCTTACCAGAGCATTAGAGAGAGAGATAGATAGATAGATATATATAGAGAGAGAGAGAGAGAGAGAGAGAGAGAGAGAGAGAGGAAGAAAAAACTCAGCTTGTGAATAATTCGAGAATGAAGCCGAAGACAAAGCAACATTCCATTATAATTTCTACAGGCTAACTTTATCCGCACCGTTTTAAATGTTAAAAATATCGAAGGCTCGTGTCTTTTATATTAAACCAATCTCCATTATTTTGCATTTTTGATAAAGAGACAAAACAAAAAAGAAAAAAAAGACACGAAAAGATAGCTCTGTCTTATATTAAATAAAATTATTAAATATTTACGTAGTATTAACATTTTTAAAAAGATTTACGAACTGGTAATATTTAACTAAGATAACATTTTTCAAGTGTGTCACTATTGATTGAAATATTTAAAAAGAACTTAACTTGCATTACATTGTTGAAAATGTATTGCAAACGAATGTTCCTATATTAAATTAATTTTATTAAATGATATTTCAATATCATAATAATAAAAAAATTCCATTGCTTTGGTTAATAGCTATATTATTTTCTCGAATTGCTTAGATTTACATAACGACAGAAATTAATGAATTCAATTAAAAAGAGGCAAATTTAACGATTAACCCAAATTCGTAAACAATCGACAAATATAAATAATAACTTTATAAAGTAAAGTATCCACATGTATTATGCGAGTGTGGGAGGGGAGAAAGAAGCTAACTCTTGGATTATTATCCCGCTCGTAAAGAGCGACGTAAACGGTCGTACGCGCGGCATTTATAAGATAATTGTGTAATCTATTCCACAGAGCACCCATCGCACAATCAACCCTCTGGTGTGAGTCCTTCCCTCACACCACGAGCCCGTGCATGCATCTGTGCGCGCGCACGCGCGCACACCTGAGAGAATACCTACGCAATTTCGAAATTATAACTAAGCGCAGGATGTATGAGAGAGCGAGACAACTGGAGAGAGCAAATGAGCACGAGAGAATATCGGATAAATACAGAGAAAAGAAAAGAGAGAAAGACAGACAGAGAGGGAGAGAGAGGGAGAGAATGAAATACATGTAATTTCCGTAGCATAAATACGCAAATTGAATATCGTATTTAGCGTCTATGAATATAAGGTAGAACACGAGTAAAACCCTTTGCACTGTTATTTCTACATGCTACCATGTATATATTAAATGCTGATTTAGTTATGTTACTAATGTTCAAACACGTATATACGTAATCTTAAAAATATTTTCACTCTCTCTCTCTCTCTCTCTCTCTCTCTCTCTCTCTCTCTCTCTATCTATCTATCTATCTATCTATTTAACCAATTCTTGATATTCTGTACAAAAATTCAGTTTTATCGTCTTAACGAGAGGCATTATATAAGTTGTTATTTACCTTCCAAAATGCGCATAAAATAATAGTTTAGTAATTGCACTGTTTCCTGAATAAGTAATTATAAAGGATATGGATTATAGTAGACCTTTTAATAAATGAGAATTTAATAAATTTTGAAAAATTGATCGCATTCCTAATATCTTCAAAAATATAGAATATAGATTATTTGATTAGGCCGAAGAACAATATCCATCCTGAAATATTAAACTGATATTGAATTAATTGAGAGTTTGATATTTCATTATATCCATTACGAGAAATTCAATTAAAGATCGAGGATTTTTGAGGAACAGTACGTATTACATAGTAGATACATTAGTAATTACATCAATTAAGAATGATTCGATAATATTTGTAAGGAATAAAACGGTTTGGTTGCAAAAAAAAAAAAAAAATAATAAAAAAATAAAAAAAGAAGAAGTAAAAAAAAATGACGAAATACACGTTATGAGGGAAAAATGAAATGTTAGAAGAGATGTTTAAAAAAAGGGAAAAAGCGAATGAACATATCCTTCCAATAAAAAATTTTTATTCACAAATCATCCTAGATGGATTCGCCGCTTTCCAGCAGCACCCAGTCCACGAGGCGGCCCGACAGACAGCAAAATCGATCTAAAACAATCGACTCTTTCTCTCTCCGGTGCACGCACACGTGCCCGACTGAACGAACACACAAACGCCGTCATCTCTCGCTTCTCCATCCGAGTCAAAAGTGCGAGGCTCAGTTGCGCAGGAGCCAAGCTCGGCCGGAAGAGAGAAAGAAGCCGAGACAGAGGCTCGCTCGGCTGTAATCATCACCGACGCGTGTCATCAGATAAGGTAGAGAGCGAGAGAGCCGTCGCGCGTCACGGAGCTCCGGGCAGCGGCGGCTCTCCACGCGAGCAGGTGCAGGAAGGAGGCGTCGCGACGCTCGCAGAGCACAGTCGAATGGGCGCCGGCGCTACACGCCTAGGCGGACATCGTCTCCCTCCCACTCGCCCCTAACCCTCGCCATTG